GTATTGGAAGCTATGGGAGGCTATCATCTGACCCAGGGAGAAGGTGTAGATAGAGAATAACAGAGGTCCAAGGATAGATGGAAAACTGAATAGAAGAGAAGGACATAGATTTTTAAGTAAGGTTCAAGGTGCGATGAGATAGGTAAGATGAGAACCAACGAACAGTACAGTCACAAAGACCAAGAGAATAGAGTTTTTTGAGAAGAAGGGGATGGTCAACTGTATCAAAGGCAGCAGAGAGGTCCATGAGTAAGAGTACAGAATAGTGACCACTGGATTTAGCCATTAATAAATTGTTTGTGAGTTTTAGGAGAGCAGTTCCTGTGGAGTGTTGTGGGCAAAATCCAGACTGAAGGAGATCAAGAAGGTTATTCTCAATGAGGTGGCAGCTTGGACCAGGGGCGGACTGACAACTCATGGGGCCCTGGGCAATAGGGGATCATGGGGCCCCTGTGTCCTTGCCCATGCCTATGAAAAAGGTACCAGGGGCATCTCATGGGGCCCCCTACTGACCCCGGGCTCTCGGGCAATGCCCGAGTTTCCAAATGGTCAGTCCGCCCCTGGCTTGGACAGTTATAGACTAGGCGTTCAAGGAGTTTGGAGATAAAAGGAGCAAGGAGATAGGTCTTAGTTTGTTAAGGTTGATGGGGTCCAGAAAAGGGTTTTTTTAAGTATGGGGGTGATCAGTGCATGTTTTAAAAGGTTGGGTAGATGCCAGTAGAGAGAGAAAGATTGAATATGTGAGATAAAGAGTGTAGGATAGAGCAAGAGGGTGATCGTAGTATTTGTGAGAGAACAGAGGGCAGGTGGTTAGGAATTAGAAAAAATGTTTAGTGATTTCCTCTATAGTAGCAGGGTTAAATGAGGGAAGTATTGAGTGTGCAGTTGGATGTGGAATGTAAGGTGGGGAGAAATCTGTATAGTGGAGATCTCATCACAAATTTATTTATTTCAGGTACTTATATAGCGCCGTCAATTTATGCAAGCAATCCCTAACCCTCAAGGGGTATACAATCTAAGGTCCCTACCCTAACTTACATTCATACATACACATATTAGGGCCAATTTAGACAGGGTCCAATTAACCTACCAGCATGTCTTTGGAGTGTGGAAGGAAAGTGAAGTACCTGGAGGAAACCCACGCAGGCATAGGAAGAACATGCAAACTCCAGGCAGGTGGTGCCGTGGCTGGGATTTGAACCGACGACGCTAGTGCTGCCAGGTGGAAGTGCTAACCATTTAGCCACTGTGCTGCCCCAATTAGTAGCTTTCACCTTCAAATAACTTAGACTACGAATTGTATAAATCTTATTTTTTAAGTGATTTGTGATGTCCTGGACAGTGAATGAGTTAGAAAGTGAAGGCAGTGAAGGATGAAGCAGAGAGTTAAAGGTATAAAAGAGTTGATGAGAGTGTGAACAAGGTCAGATAAAATAGGTTGTGGGGTGGAGAAGGGGGTTGAAGGAAAGAGAATTTAAGGAGAGAGGACACAACTATGAGAAGGAGAGGTAGAGAGCACATGTTACAAGTGGAGAGATTAAGAAGCAGATAGCGTAAGAGATGAAAGTGCTGGATGGGGAAGCAGGTCACTTGCAGTCTGTTTAGTGTAATGCAAAAGAGCTTGCAGTGGATTTTCTCTTCGGGCTCATGTACAGGGGGCATTTGGAAAACTCTTCTGAACAATGGAAACTGACTGCTGGAAAATGTAGGTTAAAAAACATAATTTTAACCACATTTGCATACCGCGTTTAGAAGCGTTTTTTAAAAGATAACCTCAGGAGACCTTCCCAAATGCCCAGAATGCACTGAAAAATAGTAAATAACTATATCAGACATTTTGAGAGAAATAGAGAGAGCAGAAGCAGAGAGAGCAGTATGTGTTGAGATTACCTGTCTTTTCTGGTTGTATTCACTATGGATCCCATCATGAGCATAATGCAGCACATTCTACCATTTTTTCCTTCAAGCGAAACCTGGAACTGACTGCACTGGTGTACTAGGTCCATTTGAATAGATGGAAAATGCGTTGCATGCATTTCTGGTGATGAAAAAGGGCGCTGGACAGCATCTAGATATGGAACAGTTAAAAAATGTTTCTAAACGCAAATGTTTATAAATGCGGTTAACTGTGTTTACAAGCATTTGACACGCCCGTAAAATCTAATCCTGAATGCAAATTTGGTGCGTTCAAAAAAAATGACTGTAAATTCAACTGCCTCTAAACGACTGTAAACGACTATGTGTACATGGACACATAGGAAAACATTAGGGATGAGTTCAGGGGCTGCTGAAAAAAATGCTGAACAGCTAATGAATGTCAGTTTAGCAGCTGCAGTGTACATGAGCCCTTCAAGTGCAGAGAAGAAGTGCAATACTTAGTCCAAGATCAATATTTTGTCCAAGATGATAGTTTCCAATGCCACCCACTCCTGTGCTTCCCCATAAAGATGGTCTAAATTGATAGTACTTGTCAATTAATCAATTAGGCATTCATAACAGACAAATGGCTAGCAGAGTAAACTTTTCACACCAACGTCAGATGTCAAGAGGGTGCAGACTTGTATTGATTAGGATAGTTTAGGTGAGAAAATTAGAGAACAAAATAAACATCACCATATTATGGAGAGGGCTACAGATGTTGAAAGCAGAATACACTATATTGCCAAAAGTATTGGGACACCCCTCCAAATAATTGGATTCAGGTGTTCCAATCAAGCATCTAGGCATGCAGACTGCTTATACACACATTTGTGAAAGAATGGGTCACACTCAAGAGCTCAGTGAATTCAAGCGTGGTACCGTGATAGGTTGCCACCTGTGCAATAAGTCCATCCGTGAAATTTCCTTGCTACTAAATATTTCATGGTCAACTGTTAGTGGTATTATAACAAAGTGGAAGCAACTGGGAACAACAGCAACTCAGCGCAGGCTGAAGCGCACAGCCCACAGCGCACAAAAGTCACAAACTGTCTGCAGAGTCAATAGCTAAAGACCTCCAAACTTCAGGTGGCCTTCAGATTAGCACAAAAACAGTGCATAGAGAGCTTTACGGAATAGGTTTCCATGGCCGAGCAGCTGCATCCAAGACTTACATCACCAAGTGCAATGCACTGGACTCCACTGGACTCTAGAGCAGTGTAGACATTCTCTTGAGTGATGAATCACGCTTCTCTGTCTGGCAATCCGATGGACATGTCTGGGTTTGGCGGTTGCCAGGAGAACAGTACTTGCCTAAATGCAATATGCTAAGTGTGGTGGAGGGGGGATTATGGTGTGGCGTTGTTATTCAGGGGTTGGGCTTGACCCCTTAGTTCCAGTGAAGGGAACTCTTAATGCTACTGGAATACCAAAACAGTTTGGACAATTTCATGCTCCCAACTTTGTGGGAACATTTTGGGGATGGTCCCTTCCTGTTCCAACATGACTGCGCACCAAAGCACAAAGCAAGGTCCATAAAGACATGGATGAGCATGTTTGGGGTGGGGGAACTTGACTGGCTTGCACAGAGTCCTAACCTCAGCCCGATAGAACACCTTTGGGATGAATTAGAGCGGTGACTGCAAGCCAGGCATGTTCGTCCAACATCAGTGCCTGATCTCACAAATGAGCTTCTGGAAGAATGGTGAAACATTCCCATAGACACACTCCTAAACCTTGTAGATGGCCTTCCCAGAAGAGTTGAAGCTGTTATAGCTGCAAAGCGTGGGCCAACTCAATATTGAACCCTATGGACTAAGACTGGGATGCCATTAAAGTTCATGTGCGTGTAAAGGCAGGCGTCCCAATATTTTGGCAATATAGTGTAGGTTACCATGAAGAAAATTGATAGTAATCAGTCAAATTTAGTTAGAGGTGAATGTTGAAAACAGCATAGGTTACCTGTGAGGGAATAGAGAAGAGATAGTCAGATGACGCAGAGTGGAAGTGTTATACTTATTTCAAGATTAATGCTTTATCCTAGATGATAGTTGCCAATACCACCCCTGCATGTGCTTCCCCATAAAGAATGATGCTCTTCTGTCTGTCACTCTGCTTTCTCCACCAATCAGTATGCTCCTAGTCAGCACATAAACTGGTAATGTCACTGCTTGTATTTAAAAAATAATAATAATGTATTGATAAATATAGAACCACATTCATTCGTATTTTTTATTTCTGCCTGGAGTTCAGCTTTAACAATTACTACTACACTACATAGCAGTTACCAATTGGTGACAAATCTGACCCCCAGGTTGCTTCCTTGGCAGCTAGATCCACCACCAGAGCCCATGTAAATACCATTACAGTTATGAAGACAAACCTGAACAGTCCCCCACAATGCAATGCTCAGTACCTCAGTGGTGAATCGACAAGTCCAAGCATTGCTGCCTAATTTTTTTCCACTGCTGGATCAATTTAAGTGCCAGCTGTTCAGCACTGCAGGATAGCCACATTTCAAAGGAAGAAATACAGGCTACTCAATTATTTCCACCATAAACATTCTGCTATCAATAAAAAATGCTTTCAACAGCAAATGTGTTCTAAGAAGCATCATACACAACCACAGAGCTTCATACCTCATCTCTTTAACTCCTTTGTATTGGCAGACTTCCCTGTGAGGACAGGGAGTGATCCAATTTGTAGGCAGGGTAAAAAAAAACCTGTACCATCTGTTGCCTTAGGTGCTTGACCCCAGTAATAACAGGAAAGATATCATAAAAATTACATTTCTTTCCCATTCATTAAGAGACACAGCATTCAGTTATTCTGAGACAATTGGGTTATACTGTCCTCTGTGGACGAATTAATCCTATAAGCGGCAATATAACCCACATGTGCAAGACTTACTACAGTCCTGTGTCCCTCAGTGGACATCAAGAAACACATTGTAAAGTATTGTCCATTGAGGGACACAGGATGGTAAGGTAAGTCTTGGACCTCTGGGTTATACTGGCACCTACAGGAAGTATGATTTCTAGTGAAGGTGGCAGTATGGCCCAGAATAAGGCTTAGGGCTCATGCAGGGGCGGACTGACCATTTGGAAACTCGGGCACTGCCCGAGGGCCCAGGGTCAGTAGGGGGTCCCATGAGATGCCCGTGGTACCTTTTTCATAGGTTTTTTTTTTTGCAGTTTGGGCAAGGACACAGGGGCCACATGATCCCCTATTGCCCGGGGCCCCATGAATTGTCAGTCTGCCCCTGGGCTCATGTACACTGCAGCTCCTAAACTGATGTTCAGGAGCTGTTCAGCATTTTTTTTCAGCAGCCCCTGAACTCTCCCTAATGTTTTCCTATGTGTCCATGTACACATCGTCCTTTACAGTCGTTTACAGGCAGTTGAGTTTACAGTTGTTTTTTTGAACGCACCAAACTTGCATTCAGGAGTAGATTTTACAGGCGTTTCAAACGCCAAACGCTTGCAAATGCATGTAAATGCGCTTAACCGCGTTTATAAGGGTTTGCGTTTAAAAGCGGTTTTTTAACTATTCCATGTCCATATGCTGCCCAGAGCCTTTTTTCATCATCAGAAATGCATGTAAAGCGTTTTCGATGTATTCAAATGGACCTAGAACACCAGCGCAGTCAGTTGCAAGTTTTGTGAAGGAAAAAATGATAGAACGTGCCGCATTATGCTCATGATGGGATCCATAGTGAATACAACCAGAAAAGACAGGAAATCTCAACACATTCTACTCTCTCTGCTTCTGCTCTCTCTATTCCTTGGAAAATGACTGAAATAGTTAATTTCTTACTATTTTTCAGTGCATTCTGGGCATTTGGGAAGGTCTTCTGAGGTTATCTTTTAAAACGCTTTTAAATGCAAACGCACATAAACACGCATAAACGCGGTATGCAAACGCGGCTAAACTGCCGTTTTTTAACCTACGTTTTCCAGCAGTCAGTTTCCATCGTTCAGAAGAGTTTCCTAAATGCCCCGTGTACATGAGCCCTTAGGTTACATGGGCTAAAACAGGTGGTTGATCCGTGTGTTTATCATGCACTCCCCCATCCTCAGTACCCACCTCTAAACATACATGACTGTGAGAGGGGTGAGTTCAGCATTGCCGTGACCACAACACTTCACAATTATAATTTGGCATGTATGTGGCTCTGCAACTTGTCAAACCAGCCCATTGAAATCAATGGTACTGTGCTGCAACCACATGCCAAATGTGGCTAAGACAGTTGCAGCACTGTAATTCCATGTAAAATCTCTATTGAGATGAAAATAAATCTCCCTGGAATAGAAAAAAACTAGGTATTCAGGAGGCTGTGGTGTCATCTCCTGAATGCCTGTACCCCAGGTGTCAACTGCTGTCTGAAAACTGATTCACTGTGCATCAGTTTTCATGGTGCCAACAGTGTAAACTAAGCCTTACTGAATCCTGCCTCCCTTAACCATTTGGAGACCGTCCGCCCGCAATGCACTGCTGATGGGCAGCCTGTACAGGCACAGCAATGTACCTGTATGTTGCTTGCCTCTTCCAGACACAAAGCAAGCATGCGCGCCTCCCCGCCTGCCGACTCCTGCTGATTGTTCACAGCGGGAGTTATGCAGGCCATAGATGGGTTGAAAATCGGCCGATTTTTCGGCCGAAAAAAAAAATCGGCCGATTTTCGCACCGTTAATGAGTTAATAGGTCGGCCGTTTTTCTGGATTTTTTTGATTGGTAAAGTTGCAAAAAAATCGGCCGATTTTGCCGATCGTCCGATTTCCGCGGCAATGATGGGCAAATCGGCCGATCTTTTTACCGATAAAAAAATCTGCGTATGAGCCGTGACCTGCAAGAAAAAGAAAAAAAGAATTGGAGGAAGAAGAAGAGGAAGAAGAAGAAGAGAAAGAAGAAGAGAAAGAAGAAGAAGAAGAAGAAGAAGAAGAAGAAAGGAAGAAGAAGAAGAGAAAGAGGAAGAAGAGAAAGTAGAAGAGAAAGAAGAAGAAGAAGAGAAAAAAGAAGAGAAAGAAGAAAAGAAAAGAAAGAAGAAGAGAAAGAAGAAGAATTCCAGTCCGCTATTATATTTGACATTAAAAAGTATTGCGATTGCAACAATGTATCTATTTGTATCCAAAAAAACCTGTATCCGAAATGGATACAAATAGATACAATGTTGCAACCACAATACTTTTTAATGTCAAATATAATAGCGGGGCTCTCTGCAGGGACAGAAGTAATTAAATGCTGGCCGTAGACGGGAAGAAAATCGGCTGATTTTTTTTTACTGTTGGTGGTAACGTCGGCCTATAGAACGACCGATTTTTTGTTTTTTTTGACCTGCTGATCAGCTGTGTCCAATCAAATCAGAGAGAAGAAACATAGAGATTAAAGTGTTTTACGAAACCCACAACAGTAAAATCAGTCTGTATATGCAGTAAAGCATGCTTTTTATACTGACTGTGGAACCTAAGGAGTTAATCCTCTGCATTGTGTAAAAAGGCTGTTTGATCCTTTCTGCTCTGCCTCTCCTCTTGATGGAATGATCACCTGATACAGAATGACAGGTAGTCACATGCATGCATGCTCAGTTTGGTGTGTATTACTAGAGAGTTTTTTTTTTCTTGGGAGAGTGCATGTGATCAGCACAGGGCCAATCAGCACTGTCCAGACATAGGGTCAGGGGTTTCATATCCTGCTAGGGCAGAAAGAAAACTCCTCCTACAAGCTTTAACCAGTGCTCTGCTGAAGTCTCAAGACTGCTCTAACTGCTGGTGAGGAAAGGTATTTAGCAGTTTATACTTTCTAAAATAATTGCATTTCCTTGTTGTGTGTACTGTAGGAGACCAGATATAGTGAATGCAGTGTCCTGGGTTTAGTATCAGTAAATATTTAATTATCAGTATTTTTTATTTATTTATGTATTTATTTATTTTCTATACTACTAATGGCGGTGATTAGCAGCTTATAGTGGGACTGTGATAGTGCGGCAGGCAAGCTGACACTGACACTGGGTGGGAACTAACTACCACTGACATCATCAGTGACACTATTACAGTGATCAGTGATAATACTACACTATCACTGTACTAATGACACTGGCTGAAAAGGAGTTAACATCCCGGGTAATCAAGGGATTAAATGAGTACCTAACAATCTGCAATGTGTGTATTAATTTCTGCTTTTTATTTAAAGCTAGAACTATGAGCCAAGTCCTTTCACAAGTAAAAAAGTGTATTTTTAATTCACACTAGCCGTCTCCAAAGTTGCGTGATTCTCCAACTTTGAGACGACTTTATACTCTTTGGCACTGAAGCCATATCAAAGTTGCACCAAAGTAGTGCAGAAACCTTTTCTGAAGTTGAAAACGACTTCAGAAGTGTCAGTTGGAACGGCTCTCATTGAGATACATGGTATTTCACACCTGCGGTCTCACAATTCAGATTCTAAGTAGCAGAAGTGTGGAGAGATTTATCTTCCTCTCTGGACAGTCCTAGAAAAGTCCTTTCACTACGAATTAAATAGACTGAGCTCTTATAGACACTTTGTCCCCTTTAAACAAACAACTGACTCTCTAACACCAGGGGCTGGCAACAGCACACACTCTCTAGGATCTCTCACAACTGTCTGTACTCATGAATGTCCTCAGATGATTGGCTGCTTCCTTCCAATGTCTTCCAGACACTTTCTCCCTGAAATATCAGTCTAGATCCACAGATGACAGACTCCCACAGTCAGCCCCAACAACTATCAGTAATCTGGGCCCCCAAACTCATCCAGCTGGGACTGCGAGAATCAACAAACACGTGACAGGTGGCCTTGAGGGCAGTCAGCCCCCCTCCCGGCTGTGATATGCCCCTTGGGGAGAAGACAATTCTGTTCCGGGTCTCAGACTATTTATACAGTTTCCTAGGAAACATCTGTGCAATCTTTCCACAGCGATTGGCTGAGACAGTCTAAATATCCATGCAGTTAATTTGCCTCACTCCTCACCTATGTTCCTGAATCATCCTATGAGTTCTAGAGGAGTAATCAAATCTGCTGATAGAACAGAGCCTTGGGGGAAAGCTGCACATGCTCAGTTTGGTGTGTATTGCTAGTTTTTTTTTTTTTCTTTGGATGGTGCATGTGATCAGCACAGAGCCAATCAGCACTGTCCAGAGAGAGGGTCAGGGGTCCTGCAGCCTCATAGAACAGTCAGGGGAGAATGAAAACTCCTGCAAGTTTTAACGTGTTCTTTTGAACACTGATAGAATTCATAAGACTGCTATAACTGCTGATGAGGAAAGGTATTTCGCAGATATTTACTAAAATAATTACATTTCCATGTTGTGTGCGCTGTGGGAGACCGGATATAGTGAATGCAGAGTCCTGGGCTGAGTATCACTTTCATTCTAAAAAACAACACGTGACAAGCTATAGGATCTGTGAACCCTGAGGGTCAGCACTCAGCACAGACAGCCTGCACACATCCTCTGCCCCATCGCATCTCACAGCACTGACCACGTGGAGCCTTGCAGCAGCTGGACTGGGCGTATTCCCCCGCCATCCAATCCCGGCTTCTCATTACACGGAGGCTTGGAACGCAAGTCTTTGTGCGAGGGTTGTCATGGAGACAGGTACACAGACTCCGTGGAGCTGGCACTGGGCCATGCAGGTGGAGGAGAGGGGGCGGGGCCCTGGAAGTCCAGTGACTGATGAGTAGAGCACAGAGGATGCACAGCTCTCCAGAGGGGACAAGGTGAGGGGGGACTGTGGAGGGAGGGAAAGGGGGGAACTCAGACATTGGGTGGGAGGGAACTGTATTTTGAGGGGAACATGTCTGCCCCCCTTCCCTGACTTCCAGGGGGTAGCTTCTACCTTTAAATGTTGTCCCTGGAAGTGGCAGAGTGCAATACCTCCATTGCTTTGTATGCAGGGCACACTCCTTATTGTCCTCTGTAGTACTTCATGGGACTTTGGAAAAGTCAGCGTTGTTTAGGTGGGGAAATGCCAGCGTATAATGTGTGATGATCCCTTGATGAACAGACTACATGTGTGCCAGAAAAAACCCCAAAGTGTGTGTGGAGTCAACATTTTATTATTTTAACCACTTGCCGTCCAGAGGATTTACCCCCCTTGCTGACCAGGCCATTTTTTTTGATACAGCACTGCGTTATTTTAACTGACAATTGCGCGGTCATGCAACGCTGCACCCAAATGAAATTTATGTCCTTTTTTTCCCCCCACAAACAGAGCTTTCCTTCGGTGCTTTTCATCACCTCTGTGTTTTTTATTT